GTTGAGTATCTTTCAGAATCATCAAATATATGTATTATGGAGAAAAGTAGATGTAATATTTAATAAAACACGATAACTTCACAACTCAACATTGAAAGTGCCATCGAATTATAAAAATCTTTAGTTATAGATCAACAATTCATTAGTAATTTACTTGAAGGGACCATCACTATTATCCCATCATCTTTTACTATGGTTTTATAACTCGTTACCTACTAACGAAATATCAGGTTCTAGAGAATTGACTGGAATAGTAGGTATTCCAAATCTGCTCTTACCTTTTTTTCCTTAGATTTCCAACAAGTCCTTCCGGAGATACTACCGTTCGAAAGAAGACGCAGCTGTTGACTGGCTAGAATTTTTGAACAATATTTGCACCCGCTGATAATGCCTAATCTGTGCTATTAGTCCTGCTGACGACAGCCACCGTTGACGTTTTGCTACGCTCCTGGGATGAATTGAGCCGGTTTGTAGGTACTATCAGTTGTACTGTCGGTTGTGGTCAAATCCCGAAGTGTCCTGAGCCCATAGTTGTAGGATTTTTTCCTGCACAATCACGATGATAATGCTTTATTCGTGTGACGGGGCACGCTTTTAATCGAATCATCCCTTATCAGCGGAGGTTCGCGCCACGCCACGCGACTTGTGTTCGCTGTTATTGCCAATTCAGAAGAAAATAATTCAACGCAACTGACAGCCACAGCTATTGCTATTAAAGTTGATAATCTTACGCTTAGTGCTAATTATGCTCTGAATTGGCAATACTATTTTTCACCGATTGTGTGTTTTTGCACCATGGATGGATCCTACAGAAAAAGCCCGAATGAATGAAAACAAGTTGTTTTTATTTATTTATTTATTTATTTATTTGTATTTGATTCTCCTTTATTACAGTACTTATTCTAATCAATAAAAAGTAGTCAGCAGTTTGTTGAACGTTCCGCGAAAAAAAAAATAAGTTGTGTCGCATGATTAGCGTTGTCTGGGTAAATTACTATTCCCGATTGCACATTCGTTGCTGTGTGTAGAGTTTATTGCACCGTTTTGTTTCGAAAAGAGCATTCTTTTGTTTTGGGCGTAGTCTGTCAAAGTGCTACGGTTCAAATAATGAATAGCATGTGGCTATTGTTTTAGATTTTGTTTTCGTCTTCTTCTCCGTTTAGCATTGCTTACAGGCTACAGCTAGAGGGCAGGAAGGTTTGTTTTGATGGTGAGACAGTTGATGCCGCTGGGTTATTTGTGTAGGGAGTTTACAAACATGGCAGATTTATTGTTTAGTTTATAATGTTTATGTAAAAATATATTGCATCTGTCGTGTCATTCTATATTGCACTTGATCGTGAGAAATTTGAGTTTGAACATGCGTAAAAATTGCTTTTCGACAGGATGATAAGCGGACCCTCCACGATTGCTTTTCTTGACAATAATCTTACTGTAAATACATTCTATATTGTCGTTAATATATCGATAATGACCAGATTTCTGTATTCATATTATCCTATTCCGTCATTAAATTGACACATGTGAAGTTTGCTTTACAGAACATCGCTGGGTGACTTTCAAATTGGTGAGCAATTCGCAACAGTGTTTAAAGCATATTTTCAGTCCTTGTAATAAGATTCAAAGACCTGTTGATAAAAAGCACAGCATTTGAGCATAAAAATAACATTTAGCCAAATCATAAATGAGTTAATAAACATTTGACCGAATGTATGTTTTACAGGATACATTTTATCCTGAGATTGAAATATATGAGTAAACACAGTCAATCCTGTTCTACACACAATCTAGTTTCGAAAAAGATAATCAACCTGCATTTCAATACATTCGATGAATGAGTGAATTCCAACTATTAAATAAAAAAATAAATATAGCATTCATTACAAACAGAATAGTTAATAAAGAAACGTTGGTAAATACTTGGATTTACTTTGACAAAACAAATGCGTTTATGTTAACTAATACCGTTTGTTTTCGAACGTTGAGTGAAAAATAATTTCCAATGCTACCGACGCCAGAGAGGCAGCTCCCACACCTGTCGACCCATAAACTCATGAACCGGGGACCAACGGCTTCAGTCATACGTTACCATCATCATGGCTTGCGATGAGTTTCACCCATCCGAGTATGACCAACCGATAGGATGGTCATTGTTTCTTGAATCTATCGTGAACTCACTTGCATGCACTGTCTTCTTCTTCTTATTCGCATTTCAAGCTTATTGCTTAGTGCATATTAGCTTATTGCGTGCTCTCAACTTAGTGTTCTAAATGCACTTCCACAGTTATTAATTGAGAGCTTTCGATGCCAATACCAATGCATGAATTTGTATATTATGTGGCAAGCACAATGATACTCTATGCCCAGGGAAGTCGAGAAAATTTCCAACCCGAAAGATTCCCTCGACCGGACCGGGAATCGAACCTGCCGCCTCCGGCTTTGTAATACCGTGCGTTTACTGACTAGGCTATGAGGCCCTATGCATGCACTGCTTTCTTATAATTTCATAGAGCGATAGAAACGCAGCTGAAAAACACCGAGGGAACAATTCAAAACACTATTTAATCACTTGATAAATTTTCATCAATACCATAACGTTACCATGGCCGTTCAATCAAACGCATAAACGGAGCTGAAACTCGTAATGTTTACATCAGCTGTCAATAACTGCCGTATAATCGACACAAAGAGCCAAAAAAATCAAGCTAAGTGTTCTTGGATGATTTTTGTGCCACCGGAGTGCCTTTACACCACCGGCACCGCTAAGTGTCAGAAAAGTTCTATTCTACGCTTAACATCTCGCTTTCCATGATGCCTGTTTGTAAGGATGACCTTTTTATAGCTTCTTAATTGCTTTTGTTAGGGTTTGTGACTATCATTTATCTTGCTTAGAGACTTGGGGCATTTTTTCTAGCGATATTCCTGCGAATCAGTTATTCAGGGATCCCCTCAACTAGTGCTCAGATAGTCATTGTGGCGGCTTCAAAGATTCCATAAGCATTTCTACTGAATATCTAAGAGTTCCAAGAGATACTTGCTAAAATCTTTATCAAAGTCTATCGTAAGACTATTTTACTATTTTGGCCGTCACATTGTTTGGAAGTCTCAGAGGATTCGTTTAGAGGTGATATTAGAGCTCTTTCAGAGATCTCGCCGTAACTTGTGATGAGGTTTTCGGAAGCATTTTAAAGTCTTCCTGTTCACTTTTCACTGATTTTTCAACCTTCTGAGTCATTTTGAAAGGCTTGGCCGGAACTTCAATAGAAGCTTTCTAGGATACATATTCACAAGACATTCCGGAGCCCTTTTTGGGTCATATCAAGGACATCATCAATCTTTATTTGAAAACTTCAAGATTCAATACTACTACTAAAGAGCATGCTGCCTCCATAAAAGACTTGCATCATCTAGAGAGGCATCTGGAATGCTCCATCGTGATAATCGAGAATTAGTTTATAGAATATGGTTCTGAAAGACCTGCACTGAGTAATTTTCACACTTTCGTATTCTGGTCCAATTCGAGATTAATATTATTAAAGAACGTGTTCTACTTATTGACAGAGCTAAAGACTGGAGAACACTCAACTTCAATGACTGCTATTCCCAAGTAAGCAACAAGCCCGCTAATTCGCCTTTTTGCAATGTAAGGCTAACATAGGGTAAGCTAAGCTTTGAATTAGCCGCATATAATCCTTATGTTGAAAAAAGGCGAATTAGCGTGCTTGTTTGTTATTTGGGTTAACATCTCCATTCACATTTGATTTAAAACTAAAACTTCTTACAGCAGAGTACTCATTCGATAACTCAGTCCTCGTATTCTTTCTCTTATGCAGTTATGCACACTTTCAAGAGAATGAGCTGAATGCTGAGTATGATTATCAAATGAGAGCCAACGTGAACTGTCTAACGGGAGCCAAACATTCTGAAGTCTCGAATTAAGTTACTCTTCTTATCGACCGTCAAGCATGGTGATCTCATAGAAATGAACGTTGCTTTTTCGTAATACATTACTAATTATACGCTCAACGGCAGGCTCAGCGAAGAAATAATACAATCCAGCACTGTTTGGATGACTCAACCGGGTTCTCAATTCTAATAAAGCATTCCCTGGAAAAAATAATAATTTAAACAAACTTTATTAGAGCCATGAAGGCTCGAGCTCTTCGGCATCTGAGATTTTGGCGGGATTCAACCGAAGAAGAGCTAACGGGGCCGGTGGTGTAGTGGTAAGCGTGATTACCTCTCACCCCAGCAGGCCTGGGTTCAATCCCAGTCGGCGCCGCCGGGATGTTCTGAGGCATAACATCTCTGATCACGCCTTCCTTCGGATGGGAAGTAAAGCCGTTGGTCCCCGGTTCATGAGTTGATGGGTCGACAGGTATGGGAGCTTCCTCTCTGGCGTCGGTAGCATTGGTGCTCAGCACGGAAAACAAGATCTACGGAAAAAAACAAACCAAAGGAAAAAAAAAAACCGAAGAAGAGCAAAACAATTCGATACTTCAAACATTTTTCAAGCTGGTTTCCATTGGCTTGCGAAATCGAATCGATTTTTTTTCCAAACTTAATCAAAAACAACGTTTCCAATGTTCAATCATTTCGGCCGGAACGATTTTCTCAACTTTGTGGCTGTTATGTTTCAGAGACAGTGAACGAAAACAAGCGGTGTGGGTCACTTCTCCGTGATCGACTGATTGTTTTTTGCGTGCTCTTTCTATGGATACAAACGCATAGAAAGAGACATGAATTGAATGATCCGGCGCTATCGCATTCAACCTGAATTTGTCACTTTGACGACCAACTGACGAGTGCACCGATAAAATTAAGTTTATGCACTGAAGAAAACTTGACAGGAACACGGGAGCTGTTTCCTTAAAATGAACAAACGTTCATGAATAATGAATAATCAATCCTATGCCTTCCGCTTATGTTTGTACGAGAACGCAAAATCTAAATATATAGTCAAGAAATCCTTACAGTCATTTAGAAATTTCACACGACTTGTTAGTTTTCGTCAACCGTCCTGGCCAAAAACACGCTATTCCTATCCATGTTCAAACTCAAACTCTCCTCTGCACTTGACTAACTCTTCCGTTTGAAATTGCTGGCATGAACTGGAACTAAATCTTCCTGTTTAGTTCCTTCTTTATTCAAGTTAAAGTTGATCAAACTTATCCTAAAATTATATCAGTGTATGATCCAGTACGTCTATCTTTCCCTTTAATTGGATCGATCCTTAATCAGAATTCTTGTCTATTGCACACAGTTAGTTAAAATCTTAAATTTTGATCTAGCAAGCGTCCAATTACGCATAATTACACTCACATCGAGAGTAGTCCGTTGCTTAATCGCCGACGCACGTCGTCATTCTCCGTATAATGAAATCACCAAGCGCCTACTGCGCGATTCGCCATTTGTCCTGTTATCATCGTTGGCTGTTTTTTTTGTGAGTTTAAGTGCGCGAGCTGCGTCGTAAATATACAGAATAATAAAATTTACAAGCCTACCGCTTCTACCACCAGTTGTTTTAATGTTTTTTCATAGTTTGTCCATCATATTCATTAGAGAAGAAAATAAATGCTTTCGTTCGTTCGTTTGTGTTGTTGCTGTGATTGAAAACCGAAACAAAAAGTATTGATCCTTAACCTACGAAAAAAATATAAGCAAAAGCATATTCTTCACTGAGAGTAAACTGGAAACGGGCGAAAGTTGGCCACTTTCGCCCGCGTAGAGAAATTGCCGTTTACTGTCAGGAAAAAAGATTCTTTTCATCTGAATACAGAGTGTGAATATCGGAAGCGTTTTCTAAAAAATAAAACCATCTACAGCTAACAGCCGGGAACCCGGGATAACCTACGGCAGATAACCTAGCGAGTCCTCTAGCGAAGAACCGACCGCTGAACCTCGGGAGCTCATCGCTTGGTAGAAATTGTCCGATTTCGTAGAGGACGTGCGCTTGGACGACCGCTTATCGCCAAGTTGCTTCCTCGTCGAGACGTCCGCTTGGGACGATTGAATGTAGTGGTACTCGTTGTGCGCGATCGGTTCTACCAGGGCTTTCTTGTTCAGCAGCTTATGGGGAGGTTTATTTACAAGTTTACCTTCACCGTGTCGTCTGTGATTGCTGTTGCTACTGCTGTTGCTGCCGCTATGATTGTGCGTGTGATGATGATTGTGACCATGGTGGTCGCTCTTGGTAGCATGCTTCTTGGTCGAAGACTCCTTATGTTGCTGGTGTTTCTTCTTTTGCTCGTGCTGTTCGTTCTTCAGGTTCTTGATATCGGTCGTTTGGCTCAACTTGACATCAGAAAAGACCGCTGCTACTTCTACCGACTTCTTGACGCTAAGTGCATCTGAAGCCTTTACCGGGCGTCCATTACCACCGACAGTAAACAGTTCATAATCCAAGCCTAGTTTATCGGAGCCATTTTTCCCACCGGACGATTTGTTGGCACACTTTTGAGCCTGCCCTTGCAGACGGGTGGGACAGTAGCATTTTTCATGGCTCAGGCAGCTATCCGTATCGCACCAGGTCGTTGAACCTTCTTCTTCGCCTTGTGTTTCACCCATCGAGCAGTAGCATTTGTCATCACTTTTGCAACTCGGCAACGAGTTTCGGTTGCTGGCTTCGTTCAACTTGGCGTTGATGTCATCACCGCCTAGACTGCAGTAGCACCGATCCGCCGAAGTACACGTACAGGCGTCCGAATCGTAACTGCACTCCGAACAGGATACGTATCTGTAACGAATTGAAAACCGAATCAAACCTCTGCTCCTCAATCAAACAAACATCGCAAAGCATTACCCGCTGGAGCTGTTCCGATTGTGGTGCGCCGTCAGTGTATGCTCATGTCGAGCTTCTGAAACCTCTGAACCGCTTGTTCCAATTCTTGATCGATCCTTCTTATCGGCCGTCTTAAAATCCAGTGATAGTTGGTCGGAGTTGGCGGTGTGTTTGCCGGACTTTCCGACCGGGACCGGTCCGCGGCACGGCGCCGTCGAGTCGGCGTCATCGATGAAACTTGCGTTGGATTCGCCGTGGCTTCCGTTGGCGGTTCGGCCGAGATTCTTCTTGTTCCGAAATTTCCCAAAGCGAAAGACCTTCTTCAGGCTCTTGGCGCCGATCAGCAGCTTGCGGCGTTGGCTCTGCAAGTGGGGATAAATGTTTAAAGACGCATGCTTTTGGTTGATTTTTAAGGCAGAGACCTGAATTATAACCAGACGTTAGGTCTGTTCCCGTAGTGGCTTTTTTGCCTTTCAGTAAGTTGTTATAAGAAAATAACATGGTGCAGAAAGTACGGGAACATACTTTTGCTTTATTCTGTACAGAATGTTACAGAAAAGCAAGTACGGGAACAGACCCATTATGATTCTACGATCTGTAGTGTACGGTTAATTATATAAATAACAGTAGATATTTTTAATTACGGTTGTTTATAAACAATTAATATTGACTGCAAACTCGCTATCCGTAATTAAGAGTAAAGTATTTCATGATAATCAGAGGTGAGGCCGGCAGCTCAATGCTTTGTTAATACACACTTAGAAATACCTAATTTTACACGTGACGGAATCCATCTTTGACATAAAGGATGAGACGTAAACAAACATGTCATGTAAAATTAAGTGCTCCGAGACTGAAAAGTTCGGTACTCGACGAAAAGTAAGTTTGATTGAGCTGAGTTTTGCGTCTATTACGACTCAATTTTATGTCAAAAATAACGCTCGTATATGTCAGTCTCAGAGCACCTAAATTAACATGAATTTTTTTAAGTGTGTACTGTACTGGACAAACCTAATCCAGCATGTGTGATGTAGAACACAAACGAGCTGTGCTTGTTCACGTCGACTAATACTGAGTGGCAGTCATACAAAATCTCGACAAAACACGGTGATATTAACAATTCTGCTTTGGTCACTCATTTGAGCTAACAGTCATAGTTAAGGCAAATCATGTCAATTGTCAATGACAATGCTGTCAGTGACGAACATGTGTAGATTTGGTTAACTAAATTTGTAACGAAATTAAATTACTTGAGCAACATAATTACATGGAGCCGTTAAAGTGAACAAGTATCTACGTCCTGAACAATAATGTGACAAAGAATGCACGAAATTACACTTTTTGTTACCACTTAATTTGTCATTGACGAAAAACTGAATGTGATTTTGACGAAGGTTTTTTTTTTGAGGATCAAGTCTGTCAGTGACTATGTGAAAAACTATTTTATCAATATCGCGCGAAAGTCTATCAATGACAATAACAAATCTCAGCACTGTTGAGTGGTTGTGATACAAACACACAGTCGACGCAATTTCTGTGATAATCGGCTGCCTTTGCTTCCGACACTTGCAAAACAAGCTATCAAATTACAGTACCAAACTAAAATGTCATATGATCGTCTCTTTCATGCAACACAGCCACCAAAAACCGTCACGTATTTATGTACTTCAGATTTTCTCATAATAAGATCTGCTAATGTTGTGCTTGTGTGGATGCTGAAAATAGCTAGCATCGATGTCTTAATAATAACATTTTTGGTCAGAGCAATTTTCCTCAATTGACTTAGGGTTTTCGGTCTCGAAATGCTTCAAAAGTCTCTCGAAGATGTCTTTTATTATACATTTTAATTAAAAAAGTTACACACAAAATATGGTTCTCAGAGCACCACCCTGTATACATATTTAAAACGTTGTTCTAATACTTTAGATTTAATATTAAGACGTTTTATGTCATCGGCGAAGTGCTTGGGATGTACCTCATACTGACGTTTACTAATTGGCGTTGATGGCACTGTCGACAAATTATCTGTTCTAGTATCTTATGGGAATTTACGGTTGAGGGAAAAGCTGCCCGAGCAAAGTCTTAGATCTAATTGAAATCTAAGTTTGATATTGTGATTTCACTGATAATGATTACTCAGGTTGCTGTCGTTTTGGTCGTTTTAACGGTTAAAATATCAAAATTGAGACAAAAAAAATCTCCCTGTGACATCACATTGAAAACTATTTCTGCTATCAGTGCACAGTGGTCCAGAATGCAAATTTAGGTGGAATGATATGTTTTGAGCCTGAAATTGAAACTTTAGACTAAAAGTCTTTTCTACAAAGTTGTTCCTTATAGTTAGGCCCTCATTTTTATGACAATGAATTTTAGGGTGGTTCCTATTATCATTAAAATAAAAAATCTAACTTTTTTGTTTAAATAAATTAAGGTATACATTCTTCGACAAAGTAATAGCTGAGCTAATTTCAAGCAACTTTGTTGAAGACAACTTTTTTGTATCTCTTAAATTGGCCAATTTAGAGCTATTTTCTTGAATTGAGTTAGGGTGGCTCTAGAAAAAACAGTTTTTTTGCTCTAGTTTTCTTATTTCAAATTTATCAGCAAAGGTGTCTTCAGATAACTTTTAGATCTTAAGAAGGCGCAAGTTTTTGCTCCACAAAGCTTGTCAATATCTTTCGCCGATCAAGAGTTATTGACGTTTTTATACTAAAAATATGCACTTTTCAAATGTTAATATCTCTGGTTGGGGCAAACAAAAAAAAAATTTTTTTTACGGCATTTGAAAGGGCGTATGTAATTCTCAATATTCTGACTAAATTGGAGGTATGTTATTTTTTAAACTCGTATAAAATCAATTTGAATTTAGTCATATTTTTTACTATATTTGGGTATATCTTTTTTATTAGAAGAGATACAGGCAACAAATTCAGGTATAAAACTTTCGTCTAAAAGAGTTTTAGAATTCTTTACAAGATAACTTTCATGAGAAATTTCAAATAAAAAAGTTATTGTTAAAAAACTATTTTTTCCAGGAACACCCTAAGTCAACTCCGAAAAAATACTCTAAAATGAGAACGATAAGAGATAGAAAAAAATTTTCTTCGACAAAGTTGCTTGCACTTAACTTAGCTACAACTTTTTCAAACAACACATGTTTTTATTTTGTAAAACAAAAAAGTTGGTTTTAAAAATTCCCTAAATTGAGGACCACCCTGACGTTTGCAAACACCAAAAGAAGGGAATTTTCAAGAACAAAAACTTCTTCCAAGACACTAAATGTCAAAATATTGAAACAAATGTACTAGCACATTTTATATAAATTTGTCATTAGAGTGGTCCTATGAAATCGATTTTATGCCAATAACTTTTTTATTTGAAATTTCTCATGAAAGTTATCTTCTAGAGAATTTTAAAACTCTTTTAGACAAATGTTTTATACTTGAATTTGTTGCCTGTATCTCTTCTAGTAAAAAAGATATACCCAAATATAGTAAAAACTTGCGCCTTCTTAAGATCTAAAAGTTATCTGAAGACACCTTTGCTGAGAAATTTGAAATAAGAAAACTAGAACAAAAAAACTGTTTTTTCAAGAGCCACCCTAACTCAATTCAATAAAATAGCTCTAAATCGGCCAATTTAAGAGATACAAAAAAGTTATCTTCAACAAAGTTGCTTGAAATTAGCTCAGCTATAACTTTGTCGAAAAATGTATACCTTAATTTATTCAAACAAAAAAGTTAGATTTTTGATTTTAATGATAATAGGAACCACCCTAGAATTCATTGTCATAAAAATGAGGGCCTAACTATAAGGAATTACTTTGTAGAAGAAACTTTTAGTCTAAAGTTTCAATTTCAGGCTCAAAACATATCATTCCACCTAAATCTGCATTCTGGACCACTGTGCAGTGGGAGCAAACTGAAAACTCAATTTGATATCCATTTTTCCTGCTGATAACTAAAAAAGTATTCAATTTGAATAAGGCAATGAAAAAAAAAACCCGCAACAACATATTTTTGAATAGCAAATGTACAGCAAAATGAAAACCAAATTTGGTATCAAATTTGTCAATTGCGTAAACTGAAATCAAATTATGATTCCAGTTTGATGTTGATATAAAAAATTTGATTTTAATTTGCTGTCATTTTGATGCTGAACTTTGCTCGGGTAGCCCTAATAAATTCTGTATGGTTATTTTGCTTAACGACGGTTTCGGGGTGTCATCCAAACCATTTATGGAATTGTTCGATTATTTAGGTTATCGTTCGTTTATGGTATTTTTGTATTAGGGACGTTAAAGGATAGTACGAAGCCCATCATGTTTCACGTAAAGATTGACGTTTGCTTATGAGATTTACCATAGGAGTAAAGAGTTACATAATCGCCAATTAGAACCAATATTATTGATTGTTTCAATAGCTGATTGGTATCGAAGATATTTTACACCTTGCCGAGTTTCAGAAGCGGAAGTTGCTTCATAGTTAAAATAACGTTCAAACCCCGTTCACCACGTTTTAAAATCGTCTTGGACCCCACACCGATGCTCTGTCAGTTTTGAAATCCGAAAGCGGTCAGGGATGCTAAATTCTCCGGAATACTGCACCCGGGTGAGGGATTCACACTCACTGGGGTGAATCACTGATCGTCTCTGCGGAGGTTCTCTCTTGGGGGAGATTGTGCTGTGTTGTGCGATTGTGCTGCTAAAAAAATTCCACACGTCATCATCATGCGTCTCACACTTAATTGAGGACTTATTGTGAAACACATCCATTTCATACGTGAATCTTATGCTGTGAACCAGGCCTTAACACTATTGGTTCGAATTGTGACACACTTGGAGTATATGTGCCTCACATGGTGTTATCAATAGCTTTGCATATCATAGTTCAATGTTCAATAAAATTCTACTTTATCGACTTCTACTTTACCGACTCCAAAATTGAATCGACAAATATATAAATAAAGCTTTCTGAGGGCAGAGCATACGCATGCCTTTTTTTAATGGGTCTGATTTGCTATTTGATCCTGAACTGTTGGGGTGTGCCGCTGCCGTTGTCTTCGATCGATCTCACTGGGCCACGGTTGTTCACATATATGAGCCTGGTTTACCTTGCAGAACATGCAATTCACATAGCATTAAAATGCAAAACACTTCAAATCCATCTGTTTTGAACAGTAGTCAATGTGCAATACATTTGAATTGATAGAAAAAGATTATCAACATTTCAAAGTTGTAAACACTAAAAATTAACGTGTAGAACACATTGAACCATGGTGAAATACACTTAAAATAAATGTGAAAAATCAAGTGTTTAGACACTTCGATCAGACGTGCGGAGTTTTTTGAGTGACGAGCACC